TGCTATATTTACTAAAGCACTAGTTCACCTTTTTTTTATATATTATAATTGTGGCACATTGATTCCTTTTTATACTAGGTTGTAGTAATTGAAGTTGCTTCTTATTATAATAAGGAGGTTTTCTCTATATTTTGCTTTTGCTTTTTAAATGGCGCTGCTTAATGCGTTGAGCCTAGTAGTGGCCGCCTCTTTTAGGTCCTGCTTATAAGAGGTGTATCAGCTACAGCCTAGAATGTAGATTAACATAATAAAAATATATCCTATTAAGGTAATAATATCCTCTATAGTTATGTTTAATAACTATATAAGGAACTAAACAAATGGAACATCTTTATAAATATATAGTATTAACTGGAACGCATAATGCGTTAGTCCTTTTTAATAAATAGATAGAGTTACAGTAATCTAGTACTAATATTAGGAAATATATAGTTTGCTATTAATACTAGCAATACTTAATTCTATAACTATAATTCCTATAAACTGGCTAATAGATAAATTGTTAATAAGGCTAAGTTAGACTAGGGATTGTCTATTCACATTCGCTAAGAGGAAACAGGTGTCTCCTATTAAATATTGCTTATAGTGGCGTCCTGTCTAGTTTATTAACTAGTGATAGTCTGCCATTCTTTATCTTTATTGTAAATAGACTAATTAGTATATTATCTTTCTTTTTAGATTCTGCTAACCTTATTACAGTATGCTAAACACTCTTTATCTATAGCAGTATATAGTCCATTGCATACTACATATTTATAAGCTATAGCTTTACAGTTATTAATCCTGTAATTTTCTACGCATTTGCTATACTTTAATAGCTAGCTACATCTAGCCTAGTAGTAACTATATTTATTACAGTTATAATATCTCTAAAAGCGTTAGATTTTCTAATATTTACTAATTATAGCTATAATGCTATTAACTTTAACTTTACATTTATTAAAAGCTCTCTAAACATCCTTTATTATAATGAGGTAGACTACTATTGACCTTCTAGGTTTCTCTCTCTTAGAGAGCTAGGCTGCCTTTATGATATTTCTAAACTTGTTTTCCTTATTAAATTTAGCTATAATTTCTAATTAGATTTTATAAATACTAAGTATTAAGATTAATATTTTATATACATTATTAACCTTAATTAGGAAGAGTTCCTCTTTATAAGTATAAGCTATTTTAAAAACTTAATAAACCTATTTATTATTTAGTTATAGTTATATTACGTCTTTTTTACTTTAGGTAATAACTTTTATAGCTTTTAACTTCATTTAGATCTTTATAATATTGATATTGCATATTGATAATTAGGCTATAATAGCTTTTTGGATCTTTCTCTCTATAGCTCTATAGTTCTTTGTTAGCTTGCATTGCTTAGTGTTACATCTTAACAGGGCAGGCAGGTTGATATACAGTTAGTTAGCAAAGCAGGGGCTTATTTATAAGAGCAGGAGGTGTTATTTAGGTAGGTATGAGATTATTAACATAAGTTAACTATAAATTATCTAAGAGATTAGTAAAGACTAGGAGGCTATATACTTATAAAGTTTATAAGTGATTAATAGTGATTAGTATGCTTAGTCTAATTATACTTAATTAAGTTGCTTAATCTGATTATGCTTAGTCAGATTTGCTTAGACTGATTAGGCTTAGCTGCTCAGTCTGCCTAGGCAGTTCTAGGTAGTCAGTGGACCCTGTCCAGGTCTGTGTCTTAACACTTAGCTGTTATCTAACTAAGGTCAATTGTAACGCCTAGGAATTATTATAGCTTTTTAGGGGAGCTAAGTAGGATCAATGCTATTGTGTTACTATGTTATAGTTAAGTGGCTAACAATAACAGGTTAATTGACCCTAATGCTGCTAAGATGTAGGAGGTTAATAGGGAGGCTGCTAGGCTTGATTGTTTAAAGCTAGAGAGGACAGTCCTCCTATTATTAACATTAGACCTAATAGTCCTGACTTTAGTGTTAAGGACTTTAATATCAGCGCTTACTGCTTCAAGTTTCTTTTCTAACTCCTTAATCCCTATAAATAAGTATTTAAGTCTTATTTTAGTAATATTAAGCTTCTTTTTAATAATGTTAAGTTTTTTTACAATAATGTTAAATGTTACTAGCAGAGCAAGGTTCTCCTAGTAGAGAGCCTCAGTCTGATTCTGGAATTGCTTATTCTAGTGTTAGAGTTATTTAAGCACCTTATTGAGTTTGCTATTCTAAGCGTTTACTGCTCCTTTAATAAAGCATTTCATTATATCTTTAGCGAAAATAGCATTATTACTTAGACTGAGCAAGCAGATAGGCTAAATCAGCTCTCTACTGCTCTGTCTAGTATTCCTAGCTCTTCTTTAAGCTATTATAGCAGCAATTAGTTCTTTTAGAAACAATTTTAGTACAATTATAGTAATAGTATTGCTAGAATAGTTAGGCAGCACCCTTTCCTTTAACTAAAATTAATAGGAGTTGGATAGTCCAATTTGTTAAGTTGACTTGTAGATAAAACTGTTAATAAACTGATAAATATTGATAAAAAATATCAATATCGTTTTTAGTCTTGTTTTTGAGGATTGATTAATTAATTAATTGATTATTTCATATGCTATGCGCTTACTACTAGAAGCATAAGCAACTACTATATACTGCTAACTAAATTACAATTCTGTGTATAAAGTCTATATCTTATTCTGCAGCTCTATCTGTTAGGGTGTCTGTGCCCCCTGTTTTGTCTAAGTGTTCTTTAGCATTTGCCTTGCTCTATATATATATAGTATATATATATATATTTTTTAGCGTTGTTTTTGTCCTTTAACTCCTTTTCATTATCTCCTGTTTTGCCCTTCCAGTTGTCTCTCTTAGTTTCGTTTTCCTGCTTTCTATGTTTTTTTACAAAGTCTAATTTTTTAATATCTATTAAGTATCTAATAGTTGCCTAGATTATTTTCATATCCGCTTTTTATTAGTTTATTAGTTTATCCTTATATAGCTACTTTATTACTATATAAGGGTTATGCTTCTTTAGCATTTATAAAAAATATTACTAAACTTATACTTTAATGCTTTTATTAATTTACGTTTTTAAATATTATATTTAAAGTATAGTAGCATAAAATATCAAATTATCTTCTCTTCTTATCTGTATTTATATTAGCTTAAATTTATAATATTGATTACTATTAAGAATTTATTTAAATAAGTATACTCTATTTAAAGCTATAAAAGGATAAAAGCCTTTTTCTTATTTATTATATTATAAAGTAATATTATATATTTGCTTAAAATAGCGCTGTCTATTATATAAAAGCTTCTACCTGCTTTTCAAAATCTTTATTGCTTTTTAGCTAGAATTTTGTTTTAGAGGGTATTCCAGATTTGTATTATATTATCTAGGATTATTTTATCTATATCTAACTTTATATAGCAGCTTATTGCCTGCTTAGCTACTTAATTAACCTCTATATATTTTATAACTGTAAACTTTTTTAAAATCCATTAAATAGCTAAATATTCTTTAAAAGTTGCGTATTTTCTTATTATATATAGAATGCTCTATATTATAGCTGCTCCGCTTTAGCTTATTTAATAGTTAATTATATAAATAGCTATTTAGCTATTTAACTATATTGCTATTTATAGAATTAGCTTCCCCTAACTTATTAATATTTCTAGTATAATCCCTATTAAGGTTATTGCTTATTTAATAGCTATTAGCTCTATTATTATATTATTAATGCTGCCTCCTAATTTGATTTTTCAAAAATAGGTAGATAATAATATAAACTTTTTAGAATATACTGCTATTCTAACTCCTGTTTAGCTATTAGTTATTAAGCTATTAGCAAAGATATTTATATACTAGTTTTTTATTTTAATATATTCTTTATACGCTTTATTTAAATTATACTAGTTAGATTTACTATTAATAATAGTTATTTTTTATAATAGAGCTATTTACGCTAAAATGATTTCTATTCCTATCCCTGTTTTTCCTAATTGTGTTTTCATATTATAAAGGGAGAAAGTGAACAACTTTACTTTAGGCTTTTTAGCTAATTTTCTAAGCTATCTTTTTAATAGATTAGTTTCTAATAATATATAGAGTCCTATTTAGAATTTACTAATTTTTAATTTTAGCTAAATATATAAGAGATAAAGCAAGGCTTTAGCATTAAATACTTTAATTAAGTTTATATAGAAGTATTTAATAACTATTTAGGCTTTTATTCTCTATATAAAATTAAGAATCTTTGCTATACTATTATTAATCTTTTCTTTTAAGGACTTGGAATACTATATTATAACTATATAGTTTATTTTAGAAGCTATTATAGCTTAATATAGCTATTTTGCTAATTATAGGCTAATATAGGAGAAGCGTTTAAGTTAGCTAGCACTTCTCTATTCTCTTATTTTGACTTTAGCTAAATGGTTTTTAAATCTTAGCTTAGCATTGAAAATAACTTCTAGGATTCTTTCTTTTATAAAAGGTTTAACAACGTAATTGCTTACCCTTAATAAAGAATCAGAGTTGCTAATCTTCTTATAATTTTATGTAAAATATATAAGGATTATCTTATCGCTTTTAAATATAACGCTATTATCTTTTGCCTATTAGAGGGCCCTTAGAACAACTTTGTTGTTAAGTATTAATATATTTCTTTTTACCAATTCTGAAATAGCTTATTAAGTATAGTTATTCATAAACCCTATATTACCTTATTTCCTATTAATCTTCTCTTTCATTAGGAACGCGTTGAAGAAGATATATAGAATTAGGGCAAGTGTTGATCCTTATAGAAGGCCGGATTCTGCAAGTGTGACTCTGCTTGATTCTGTGCTGTTAACCAATACTGTAGCTAGTCGATCAGTGCAGAAGGAGTCAACCCATGCCACTACACTCGTTTTTGAGGATTATTCAGATCCAGGACGGTAACCTCAGCATGCTTCCGTGCAAAGGTGAGGCGAGACGATGGGAAGTATATATTGATTAAGAGAATTTCTTCTCACATCAAATCCGATGTGGTCTAGTGGCTAGGATTTGCCGCTCTCATGTGTTGATTCACGGAAGCACCGGCAAGGCCGGGGTTCAATTCCCCGCATCGGAATTATATTTTGTATTTTGGTCCTGGTTCACATAACAAGTGTGCGCGTTGACAGGAATTAAAGAGAGACTGTTTTTGTTTTGGCTGCGGGTGGCATGCATGATTTTTTTTTATGTCTCGAGAATGCGCAAGGCGCTGCCGCGCTGCGTCCGGGGGTTGTGGCCCGGCGAAAGATGCCCTTGCCTTGAGAGCCAAGCTTTCAATACTGAGAAATTGAGGTAGACAGAGTTGAGTAGACTCGAGAAGGGACAATTGACTTGTATGGAGACTTCGTTTCATACGGAACTGACAACGATATTGAGACCAAAGCTTGGTCTTTCGAGGCGCTCAGAAATCAAAAATCATCCAATAGAGCACCATGCCTGCCGGGCTCAATGACAAGCAAAAAGTGGGGACTTCTCGGAATCGAACCAAGGACCTCTTGCATGTGTGATAGAAACCCAAAGCAAGAATCATACCACTAGACCAAAGTCCCAGGAGATAAAAAATCGGAATTCAAGATGGTTTATAATGTTTATTATTTGAGACTATGGTGGGTTCGATGGACGGGTGCACGGGATGGGTAGCTTGCAACCTCGAGGTTAAGAAAAAAACGACATCGATATTTTTTATCGATATTCATCATTTTAATGACAGTTTCATCTACAAGCCAACTTGACAAGTCGGACTATCCAACTCCTGTCAATTTTAAATAAGGGAAAGGGTGCTGCTGGACCTAATTAATAACGCTGTTATAATAGTTATATTAGCATTGTCTTTAAAGAGACCTAATACTGCTATAATAATATAAAAAAGAGCTAGAAATACTAAACAGAGCAAAGGGTTAATCTAACCTATTTGCTCACTCTAGCTTAGCAATAATACTATTTTTGCAAAAGATATAATAAAGAATCTTATTAAAGGAGCAATGAACGCTTAAAATAATAAGCTTAATAAACTGATTAAGCAACTCTAGGGTTAGAATAAACTATTCAATACTTAGAATAAACAACTCTAGGACTAGACAGAAGCCTTTTACTAAAAGAATATTGCAATAATAGCAACACTTAAAGTTATTATAAGAGAAAATAAGAAGCTTAAGAAGAAGCTTAATAGCATAAATGCAAATATTAAGAATATTAATACTAATATTAAAGCTCTAAACACTAAAGTCTAATTTATTAAATCTAATATTAATAAAGGGAAGACAGTTCTTTTAACCTTTAAATAAACAAGCTTGACATCCCTAGCTGACCCTAATATAGCAGCCTCCTTATTAATCTCTTACGCTTTAGCAACGTTAGGCTCAATTAACCTATTGTTGTTAGCTATATAGCCTCAATATAGTAACATTATAGCAATAATACTACCTACCTTTCCTAAAAAACTATACCAATTCCTAGGCGTTATAATAAACCTAAGCTAAATAATAGCTAAATAGCGCAAAGCGATAAATAACTATAAAGCAACTAGGGATAAAATCTAGAAAGCTATTATAGCTTAATAATCTGTAAATAATATTATTATTAAAAAAATCCAATTTAAATTAAGGAATATAAAGATTATTATTTAAAATAAAAAAGACGCAGCACAACTACAGATAAATAAAATATAAGTCTATTAAATATTTAAAATAGCCTAAGTTTGTAAAGAGGAACTCTTCTTAATTAAGGTTAATAATATATATAAAATAATAGTCCTAATACTAGGTATTTATAAAATCAAATTAGAACTGGTAGCTAAGTTTAATACTGAAAATAGGTTTGCTAGAGCTATTAAAGTATTCTAGCTCTCTAAAAGGGAGAAACTTATAAAATTTATAATAGTGTATCTTAATATAGCAAAGAACGCCTAGAAAGCGCTTAAGGAACATATAATTTAAGTTAATAATAGTATAACTATAGTTAGTTAATACTATAAAATCCAACGCCCTTAGAGATACTATAACTGTAACAAATATAGCCACTACTAGGCTAGATATAGCTAACCTCTAAAATGTGGAAAATGCATAGATAACTATAAGATTAATAACTATATAGCTATAATATTAAAATATGTAGCGTATAGAGGACTATATACTATAATAGACTTTAAATGCATAGTATACTAAAAGGAGATTAATAGAATTCAAGGCGAAAACCAACTTTTTAACTAGCCTATTAAAATAAGGGAAAAGGACTAGCAGACAGTTATAAGCTAACGTACTAAATAAGAAGTCACTATAAGCAACATATAATAAGGGACACTTGCTTCCTTTTAGCAAATGTGAATAGACAATCCCTAGTCTAGCTCAGCCTTATTAATAACTAGTCCATTAGTCAGTTTATAGTAATTATAGTTATAAAATTAAGTATTATTAGTATTAAGAGTAAACTATACATTTCGTAATATTAGTACTAGATTACTGTAATACTATCTATATATTAAGAAGAACTAACGCATTACGCATTTTAATTAGCATTTTATATCTATAAAGATATTTCATTTATCCAGATCCCTATAATGTTGTCTAATATAACTATAAAAGTTATTACTACTTTAATAAAATATATTTTCATAGTGTTAATCTACATCCTATAGGCCTTCTAAGCAGGATTTAGAAGAGACAGCCACTACTAAGCTTAACGCCTTAAGCAGAGCAATCTAGGAGGCAAAAGCTAAATATGGAGAGAACCTCTATATTGTGACTAGAAGTGACTTTAACTGCTATAACCTAATATAGAAAGGAATCAATATACTATAGTTACAATATAAAAAAGAAAGTGAACTAATGCTCTAATAGATATAATAATATAATACTTTTTTAGCTTTATTAAGCAGCACAATCACATTCCTATAAAGACAATTTAGAACTATAATTAATTTTATGCTAATATCCAATTTAATAGAAGACTAGGTTATAAAGTGTAATATCCATTTAACTTAATATAGGTTAGACTATAAAGCTATAATATTTTGAATTAATAAAGCTAAAATAACTGCTTTATAAGGAGCTAAATACAACTTTAGAAAAACAAACTAGGATATAGCTATTAAGGCGCTTAAGGGATAGAGACTATCAGTTATTAACATTAATAATACTACTAAGCTTAATTAGGTAGTTATAGAAATCTAGAACACTATAAGCTAATACATTTATAACTATTGCTCTATAGTTAAGAAATCCCTATATATAAAAGCATAATAGGATAATAAACTTATAGAGCTATATAATAAATATACTTAATACCTAAACTAAAGCATTGCATTACAAACTATAGGACTAAATAGCAAAGAAAGCTACTGTAAAGCTAGGCAAGCTAAACACTAGTTCTATAAAGGCATCTATAACAAAAAACGACTATATTGGAATAAATTCCTAACATAGATTAATAATATTTAGAAAGCAGCCTAATACCTTGATCTATAACTATCAGCATTTAGCAATATCCCTATTATAATTATTAATATTAAAGGTTAGGAAGTGGAGCTTAAAGGAGATAAGGCTAAAGCAAATAAACTACTTCAATGCTTTTTCTTACTAGTTTCTAAAAAATAGAAAGAGGACGCGCTAAACTCTAATGCAAGATACATAGAGGACCTAGATATCTCTATTAAAGAAGTAACTAGGGCAATAGCTAAAATCAGCTTATATAAAGTACTAAATATAAACAATATTCTAAACATTATATAAAAACGCTTATAGTCTATTCTAAATAACTAAGTCACTAATATCTTTACGTATTGTATTAATTAGGATATGTATTAATTATATAGAAAATAGCATAAATCTTATTATTATAAAAGCTAGGAAAACCGGATTACTATATAGTAAAAGCATATTGCTTTATCTTCTTTTTAGCTATTTTAAGCAAATTAATAGAACTTATATTAGTAAAAAGAATATTATATTAGGCTAAGATGTTCAATCTCCTTTTAAAAATACAATTTGGCGCTAAGCTAAGACGCTTATATAACTAAGCGCTGCTTCTCTTAATTAAGAAAATCTTTAAAATATAATAGTAAAAGAAAATCCTTTCCTTTATTAGTTTTAATATAAAGAGAGTATATAACAGCGTTCCTTAATAGGTGCTTACTAGTCAGCTATACGTAAAGAGGATCCTAACCTACATAGTAGTATAGGTTGGCTCCTTCTATATAGATTAACTAATAATAGTATTAATTAATAATATAGAATTAAGCAGAGTCATATTTACAAAATCCGGCTTTTTATAAGAATCAACGTTTGCCCTAATTCTATATATCTTCTTTAACGCGTTTCTAATAAAGGAAAAGATTAATAGGAAATAAGGTAATATAAGGTTTATAAATAACTATATTTAATAAGCTATTTCAGAATTAGTAGAAAAAAATATATTAATACTTAATAATAAAATTGTCCTAAGGGCCCTCTAATAAGCAAAAGACAGTAACGCTATATTTAAAAGTAATAAAATAATCCTTATATATTTTATATAAAATTGTAGAAAAATTAGTAATTCTAACTTTCTATTAAAAATAAGCAACTATATTATCAAACCTTCTATAAAAGAAAGGATCCTAAGAGTTATCTTTAATGCTAAGCTAAGATTTAAGAATCACTTAGCTAAAGTTATAATAAAAAGGTAGAAAAGTGCTAGCTAACTTAAACGCCTTTTCTATATTAGCCTATAATTAGCAAAATAGCTATATTAAGCTATAATAGCTTCTAAAATAGACTATATAGCTATAGAGTAGTATTCCAAGTCCTTAAAAGGAAAGATTAATAACAGTATAGTAAAGATTCTTAATTCTATATAAAGGATAGGAGCCTAAGCAGTTGTCAAATACTTCTATATAAACTTAGTTAAGGTATTTAGCGCTAAAGCCTTATTTTACCTTTTATATATCTAGCTAAAATTGAAAATTAGCAAATTCTAAATAGGACTCTATATATTATTAGAAACTGACTTATTAAAAAAAACAGCTTAGAAAACTAGCTAAAAAGCTTAAAATAAAGTTATTCACTTTCTCCCTTTATAATATGAAAATACAGTTAGGAAAGA